ATTAAGTTTTAATAGAAAGAAAAGGATGACATTCCATCACAACCGACGATACCCAATTTTACAGAAACTAAAATATAAAAATTATCTGACAATAATTCAATATAGGAAAAAAAAAAAAAAACTAAATAATACATTTTATACCAAAAAGATGATATGATGAAAATTTATTGCCAGAAACTCTAATGTTGAAATATTATTTTTGATATTATTTAATGTGGTTTTGCTTGAAAAATAATTTACAAAAAAAAGAATAGTCATTGGTCAAAGAGTAGTGCTGTGGATTGAATGTGTATTTCCCAAATTGGTTGTGGTCCTGATACCCAACATGACGGTACTGGGACGTGGGGCCTTTGGAAAGTGAGTAGTTAGGTTTGGGTAAGGTCATGAGGGCAAAGCTCCCAATGCCATTATTGCTCTTGTAAGAAGAGACCAGAGCGAACTCACTCCCCACCATGTGAAAATACAGCAAGAAGGCAGCTGCTTGCAAACCAAGAAGAGGGTGCAAACCAGACGCCAAATCGGTTGGCACCTTGACCTTAGACTTCCGAGCCTCCAGGATGGGAGAAAAAAAATTGTTTGCTGTTTAAGCCACCCAGTCTACGGTATTTTGTAACAGCATCCCAAACTGACTAGCACAAGTAGTATAACATTTCAAGTGCTATTATGGTTTAAAAAAAAAAAAAAAGAAAAAAGAAAGAAATTTACTGAGTTTCTATTTATAAGATAAATCTGATACATAATTTGCTCTCCTTTCTCCTTCTTCTCTTCAGGTTTACCTCAAAAACTGTGAAATGGGCTGGCAGAGAAGTGGAAGCGAATTCTCCATTAATTAAAAAAAAAAAGAGTTGTTGGAAAATTTGATCTCTAATATACACGATGATTAAAAAATATGTACCTTTCTCGATATTTGGTTTTAATGTTATATTCTCTTACTCTATGGAAGTTACTGACTTTGATTTCTGTTAAAAACCAATTTCCAGAATGTCAGCTCAGTGTTACTAGATAATTCTCCACTGATTTTGTCTATTCTTTTGTGGCCTGACCCTTCTAAGCAAAGGACATGTTTGTATAGCAAACAGCCTTGGAAGCTAGAGATAATGTATTTATTCCCCTGGAGAGATTTGGAGACATCCAGGATGGTAAAGATTTATTACTTTTCTTCCCTCCATGGAGAGATTTGCTGACATTCCGAGACAATCTTTCTCTCCAAAGGGGAAGACAGGTAGATGTGCTAGCAGCCGCATCAAAGCACCAAGTTTCCTAATTATGGGGTTTCTTTCCTGTGGAACACCACTGCATGTGTAGATAAACATCTGGCATCTATCACATCATCTTTTGAGAGTTAGGGCATGGGGCATGGGGAATTGATACAAGATGCTACAATGACTATTGTTCTTGCTGAGAGTGGTAAACCATTGGTCTCTGACTGATCAAGAGTCTGGTGTCTTCTGCATTATATGTATATAAAACTGTGGCAAACTAACTTGTTAGTTTGCAATTAGAGTACAACTTCAGATGCTTCACAGTTTCAGACTTAACACCTAGTTTTCAAAATTCTAAGCAAGTGAAGGTGCAAAACGGCAGCAGCGTAGGAAGACACCAAAATTGTCCCCTCCCGTGAGAAAACTCAAATATACAAATATACAAAAAGGAATTATACCTGGAAGATACCTGAGGGCTGTATGATCATCTTCTAAACAACAAACAAGAGAAAGAGACTGAATAGAAAGGGTTGGGAAGCTGCAGGAGCCTTCCAGGAACTGCAGGAATTCTCTGAACCAGAAGAGCTGGTAAGCACCACTGTTTAAGTCCCCCTAACTTGACAGGGTAGCTACAATAATTAAAACAGTATATTAGTGGCATAAAAACAGATATACAAGTCACTGGAATAGGATAAAGAGCCCAAAAATAAATCTTCACATATATGGTCATTCAATCTATGACAAAGGAGGCTACGATATACAATGGAGTAAATGCAATCTCTTCAAAAAGTGGTGCTGGGTAAACTGGACAAATATATGCAATAAATAAATAAATAAGATTACACTACTTTCTTACACCACACACAAAAAGAAAGTCAAAATGAAAGACTTAATTATAAGCCCTGAAGCCATGAAACACCTAGAAGAAAACATAGGCATTAAACTATTGAACATCATTATTAATAATGTTTTTGACTATGTTTCCTCAGACAAAGGAAACAAAATTTTTAAATTGCAGCAAAGGAAAACATCAACAAAATGAAAAGACAACCTACTAAATGAGAGAAAATATTTACAAATGCTACATCCAATGAGGGGTTAATATCCAAAATATATAAGGAACTCATACAACGTAACACCAAAATAAAAACCAAACAGTCCAATTTATTAATGGGCAACTTACCTGAATAGACAGTTTTTCAAAGAAAGGACTATTTGGTAGTTTGACCTACTTGCAAGATCAAGGCAGTGTGTTCCCAGCTACATTGCGCAGAGCCCTTTGCCTCCAAACAAAGAATGCAAGCAGGAACAATAGGGTGTCACCACACACACCTGGCCTTCCTGCTGGGAGTCACTCCAGCCCAACAGGCCAGTGCTCCAGATGCCATAAGTACCTGCCCTGCTCCAACTGGAGTCCCAAAACTACCTGGCACATAGAGCCTACATAGAGGTCTCTTTTACATATGACCACTTTCTGTACAACAAACAAAAGAGAGGCTATGTAGAGAAGGCTAGGGAGCTGCCTCGTTGGAGAATGTGGGAATTCTCTGAAGCAGAGAAGCTAGTGAGTGCCATTGTTTATGTCCCTCTGCACCTCTTCAGAGTGGGTGAAGGCTCTATTCAGGTGCTCAGACCTATCTGCAAGTTTTCTGTAGCGTACCGTGGACACACTGCCTGAGCTCATTTCAGCCCCAAACAAAAGGAGCAAGCAGGATCAACCAGAAATTACTACACACACCTGGCCTCCCCACTAGGAGCTGCTCCAGCTCTATAGACCATGCTAGATGCCGTAGGCACCCACCCATTTGGCTCTTACTAGCCTGCTGAAACTACCCGCACACACAGCCTACACAGAGGCTGCTCCTACATAATGCCAATTTTTTAAGACTAGGAGAGATAATTATTTTGTCTAATTTATATAAACAAACATTGGAAGTCAAACAAAATGAAAAGACAGAAGAATATCTCTCAAATAAAGCAAAAAGAAAATTCCTAGAAAAAAAGTCTAAGGAATAAGAGATAAGTAATTTGCGTGATAAAGAATTCAAAGAAATGGTCATAAGGATCCTTAGCAAACTTGAGAGAGGAATATAAGAACTTAGAGAGAACTTCAATAAAGAGTTATAAAGTATAATAAAGGACTAAACAGACCTGAAGAATACAATAACTGAAATGAAAAAATGAGAAGAAATCAAATATTAGCTAATACAGCAAAATGGATCAGCAACGTGGAAGACAGACTAGTGGAAATCAACTATTCAGAACAGCAAAAAGAAAAAAAAAAATTTTAAACGAAGATAGTTTAAGGGACTGCTGGGGTAACATAAAGAGATCAAATGTTCTCATTGTAGGGATTCCAGAGGGAAAAGAAAGAGAGAAAGGAATGGAAACTTTATTTAAAGAAATCAGGGCTGAAAACTTTTCCAACCTTGGAAAGGAAATAAAGTGCTGAAAGAAAGTAATCTATAACCTAGAATAATTTATCCAGTGAAGTTACCATTTAGAATTGATTGAGAGATAAAATTTCCCAGACAAGCAAAAACTAAAGGAGCTCATTACCATTAAACCAGCATTACAAGAAATGTTAAAGTCTCTTCTTTAAGCAGAAAAGGAAAGGTCATACCAGAAGTAAGGAAATATGAGAAAAGGAAAATTTTCACAGGTAAAGCCAAATATTTCACAAATGCAGCAAATTGAACATTTAAAAGGCTAGAACCAGATGACTTCACAGGTAAATGCTACCAAATATTCAAATAAGAATTAATACTTAAACTTCTTAAACTATTTTAAAAATTGAAGAGGAATGAATGCTGCCAAATTAATTATATATGAAGCCAGCATTATCCTGATACCAAAACCAGACAAACACATCACACACACACAAAAAATGAAAATTATAGCCCAATATCCTTGATGAACATAGAGGCAAAAATTCTCAACAAAATATTAGCAATCCTTCAATACATTTAAAGGATTATACACCACAAACAGGTAGGATTCATCCCAGGGATGTAAGGATAGTTCGACATCTGTAAATCAATCAATGTGATACATCACATTAACAAAATAAAGCATATGATCATCTCAATAGACACAGAAAAAAGCACTTGACAAAATCAATGTCCTTTTATGGTAAAAACTCTCAACAAAATGGATGTAGAAGGAATACATCTCCAAATGATAACAGCTATAAATGACAAACCCACAGCTAATATCATACTCAACGGGAAAAAGCTGAGAGCTTTTCCTCTAAGATCAGGAACAAGACAAGGTTGCCTATTATTGCCACTTTTATTCAACCTAATATTAGAAGTTCTGGTCACAGCAATTAGATAAGAAAAAGAAAAAAAAAAGTATCCAAATTGGAAAGGAAGAAGTAAAACTGACATGATTTGCAGACATGATACTATATATAGAAAACCCTAAAGATTCTACCAAAAAGCTATTAGAAATAATAAATCAATTTGTTAGTAGCAGGATATGAAATTAATATTCAGAAATCAATTGCCTTTTATACAAAAATAACAAACTATCGGAAAGAGAAATTAAGAAAACAATCTCATTTACAATTGGATCAAAAAGAATAAAATACTTAGGAATAAATTTAACCAAGGAGATAAAAGACCTGTACTCAGAAAACTATAGGCAACTGAAGAA